TTTTGATTAAGATATCTATACACCGTAGAAATATAGTACAAAAACAACTTGCATTTATACAGCGCACTTTACATCTGGTGTATAATGGATTCAAAATGATAATTATCACATAATTTCTGTTAGGAAACATTGCATTTTTCATCTCAGAAATTGAAGCGTCACAAGATCATACAATTGATTCAGATGAAGAAGGCTCTTTGGGCCATTTGATCTCATCCTTTCAGAAAAAAAAACACCTCCCCATCTCCCCATCACAGCATCAAAGTGTATTTTAAATTATTCCAGCGCCATGCTTTCAGTCAACCTTCATGGCAATCTGTTCTAATCATTGATTAACCGCTGGGTAAAGAAATACTTCCTGGTGTCACATTTAAAATGTGATACAGTTCTATAAGGTCCCCTCAGACAAGTCTCCTTTCAAGGCAGATGATCCCTTGCTTACCTAATTGTTGTTCATTTAGTTCATTTCTGTAACACTGAACAATTCTCACTGTTCTCCTCTGTATGGCCTCTAGGGCTTGGAGTCAGTTTCAGTCTCATTTGAAGGCAGAGGTGAGAGGGAGTGGGGCCTATAATTGGCTATAATGTAATCTTCTAGAGTCCAGATTAGCACCAAGAAATAAAACCAGCCATGGGCTCCCACTCATGATGGTTCACTCAACCTCTGCTGAAAAGTGCAAATATAGGTTTCATTTGAGGCCAGTATAGAGTTGTGATATTCCTCTGCAACAGAATTGCCTGCCACAGCACTCACTTCCTTGTCTCACACATGAAGAATATCAAGTAACGTATTTGTATTTACTTTTCATGAAGTTTCAACAAGACCCAAATATAAATTATCCGTTGTGCAATTTTACATACAATTGCATATAATGTACAGCAAAGAAACAGGTTGTTCGGCCCAACTAGTCCGTGCCAATGTTTCTACGCCACATGAGCCCGACTCGCTCCTTATCCCCTCTATTCCTTTCTCTCTAATGTATGTATTATTTATTGCACAATTTTAACTATAAGAGACAAAATTTGATAATAATAGAATCATTATCAGAGTGTGTGGATAATAACTGAGTAATGAAGTGTAGCATCTGACCACGAGGGAATGTTCATGTGAGCAAGTTCAATAACTGAATTATTCTGTTGCTGAATACAAGGGATGCAAGCAAAAAAATAGGTTAGAATTTCCCAATCCGAATATCTTTTGGAGGAACCAAATTATTCAACATGACAATGATGATCAAGACTACTGTAACTTTCATATTAATTAAAAATGATATCTTCATGACAATTCAAAACCCTTACTGTTAAATTGGCAGGAGGCTCCAAGGTTCGCTCCATCCTGGATATCCTTGATTTGGGCCTCTGAATTTGACATCTTGCAAGAGACCTCTAAACGATGAAGAAACACCTTTAACAGAAATATGCAGTGATCAGGTTCTTATGACTCCTGGACTCTCTGTGCCACTAGTCAGGTACGCCAGTACTTTATATAGGACAATGAACTTCTGTGTAATTTACCAATAAAAGGAACCTGATAACGTGAAACCCAACTTCACTCGACACTGCTCTTTATTTTCCTAATATTTTGCTCTTCCATTTCTCAGGGAGGAGGATGGGGGTTAGTAAGGTGGGATGGGGAGGTGGAAGGAGGAAGACATTCCGCCATGATCTAACCATTTTTCAGAGCATTTAGATTTTGGAACAATTCTTAATTGTTTCAAAAAACAGGTTCAAAAAGAAACTTTCAGCTACTAGGACCCGAAACTCTGGAACACTCTTCCTCTATCCCTCCGCCTTGCCCCATTCCTTCCCCATCTTCAGATCGCCCCTGAAGACCTTCCACTTTGACCGAGCCTACGGTCACCTCCCCCTCCCCCCGGCTTGATGTTGTGCTCCGCCACTGTCGAGTGCTCTGTGACGCTACCCTACGTGAGAGGCGCTATATAAATGCAAGTTGTTGTGGTTGAAAACTGAATTTGAGAATTGTTCAAAATTTTTGTGCTCTGAAACTCTTAACAACTCCAAGATGGAATTTCTCCACCCTGAAGGCTGAGGTACAGTTCCAAGGTCTTCAGGAGCCCTCTACTGCAGTACAGTACCTCCAAGAACCTAATCCACGTGCGAGCTTGGACAGTGAGCAAACAGCAGGCCATCAATCTATGAGGGTATCACAGCCTCACGTGGCACTTTCCAGCCTTGGTCACTTGCGAGTGATCAGCCTCGACTTTAAGCTCTACGAGACGCCGCCCGGCGTCAAGGGTGCTATATAAATGCAAGTTGTTGTTGTTATTGTTGTTTGTCGCTCCCTCATCTGGAGATAAAGAGGGCCATTGTAACATTGTTACATTGCCCTGCCTGAGATCAGCTAACAGACATCTACTTTGTCATAATAATAATCCTTGCATTTGATATAGCACCGTATCACGTCTTTGAGACGTCTCAAAGCGCTTCACAGAATATACTGTAAAGTGAATTCACCAGTAACACTAAACTTTGTTAGTGAGGGCTACCATTTATCTCAAGTGTGGCTCTCTTCCTTAGACCACTGGAAAATTCCACAGATAGACAATTGCTGGTTGACCTTCACTTTCATCCAACGCTTGTGTTATTTTCAGAAATGGCCTAGGGCTGAACATCTGACTGTCGCGCCATAGAGTCGCATGCTAATGCTTTTTTTTTAAATAACTGAAGAGTAATTAAAAAGAAATACAGTCAATAAACAATCAGAGCAATATTAATTATTCATTTTAATGGAACCGCTCAGCTTTATCAATGTTTCATGATGGGGCTTTCAGATCAGTGTGCTGTGCTTAGCCACACCAGCGGAGGGAGCTGGAGTCCATGGTAAGACTTCAGTTGCACAGAGCGAGCATTTGTTGTACCAAAAAAAGGACAAGAAGTTCAATTCGGGCAAAAGAATGATTGACTGACTCTCCGAAAACTCTCAGAGCGAGTTCTTGTTAATTATGCAATTTTCAGTAGAAATTAGGCTGTAACATTTACAGTACTGTGTTATTTTAAAGAGGCGCATTTATTGGGCTGTGTTCACACTGGGTTACATTGAGAAAATAACACTCAAGAGTTGCAAATCTTCCATATGTATTCAAATGTACTGGGAAATAAAAGTGCTTCATGACAGTAATTACAGTTCATCATTCTTGAATTTCCCATTATAGCACAGTGCCACTAAAAATAAAACACGCTGATGGATGTACAAAAGGACAGTGATAGAGTGCTTTAACCCAGGGTAGACTGCAGCCCTGTTTCAATGCAATAACAAACACCGACCCTGGTTGCTAATGTGTTTTCTTGTTCGTTTTTTCATCTTAATTTTGTCTTCTCACTTGACAGCTCCCGATTCATGCTGGGGGACATTCATGCTTTCAGCAGCATTATGTGGTCCAAGTGACCATTCTACACGTGTTAGCCCATCAGAGTGAGGAGAAAGTATAGCAAAAATAATACCCATCCTCACCAGAGACCTGCCATTTCTTATCCTCGTTGGCTTAAGACGGTTGACTTAAAATTTAAAACTTTATGAGATGCTAGGAAACTGAATTAAATTTTGAGTTTGCCCACAAAATGCACAGTCACTGCACTTTACAGTAAATCACGTGAAGCGCGTTGAGACACCCTCCTGATGTGAAAGACGTAGAACAAACAAAAAGGATGCATTTATTATTTAAATTTGTTCAAAATGCGGAACAAAGTTTTCAGCCGGACTGAAAAAGAACTGCTGAAAGTGGCTTTCAAATTAAGACTTCATTTAAGACTGTTTTCTAAAATTCCACACAATCAATATTAGGTGTGGCGGACGGTCTTTCGGGATTTTGATGGTTTATCGAATGTCTTCACGGGAAATGTTCCAGCAGGTGTTCACTAGATAGTGGTTGACAGCGACTTATTTTCTCCTCCCTAACTGTCGCGCTCCCTGAGATCAGCTAACTCAGCACAGACTAAACATCGAACCTGTCACCTTCGCTGTCAGTATGGTTCCTTTTTCAGGGAGGATCACATTGCAGAAGATCTGCAGGAGACTTTGATGGACGGCGGGGGTGGGGAATGTGGGGGTGGTGGAGGAGGAGGGGTGTTTGTATTTTCCTTGTCTGTAACAAGTATAACAATCTTTATTGTGTGCCTTTAAAATGAAGCATGCCTTTCCAGAGGTTGATAGATTTGCATATGAGATAAAAATGTTGTCAAACGTTGCTACATTTACTGACACTAAGGAGCATAACCTCTTTTATCCACCAAGACTATGGGTAAAGCTTATCTTTTTTGGTCCTAAATTATTTTAACTCTTTTAAAGCCATGTGTATTGCATAAAAAAAATATTTTTATTCGAAAATACAATTTGTATTTATATAGCGGGGTAATGTCACGGAGTGCTGAATAATAATCCTAACTTTTGATAAAGCACCTTATCGTATGATATAGTGTACAGGATAAACTGTAAAGCCATGTGATTGTGTATATTTTTGTGGATGAAATAGTTTGAACTGAATGATGCTGTGCACCTATTATTTTCTCTGCCAGTACTCCACTGGTTATAGTTCTGAGAGAGTGGAGATCCCCAGTTCTATTTATCGTTGGTAACCTTCAACAATGGCAAAACTCAAAGCCATCATTTTGGTAGAGGCATTGCAATGGAGTACCACATGGCAGGAAATCTTGAAAGCTGCACATTTGATCAAAAAGTGAAAAGCAGGGGCTGAACTGAAAGATTATAGGTGAGAGAAGGTCAGTTACCAGGTTATTCATCAGCCAATTTATCATCCAATCAGGATTGTCAGCCAAGTGACTGGGAGAATCTCTTCTCTTTTTCAAAAAGTGTCGTGGGATTTGTAATCTCCATCTGAAGAGTAGGCAGAAGGGATCTCGATTTAATATCCAATCCTAAAAGAGGCAACTTGAATGATCCAGTACTACACTGGAATGTCAGGCTAGACTGTGAGCTCAAATCCCAATGTGGGACTTCAACCTATAACCTTTTGACCCAACAGCGAGAGTGCTACCAACTGAGCCAGATTGACACGCAGGCCAAGCTGAATAATAAAGGTCATTGCTACTGAAAACAGCCTTGGCCACTCCACACACCGATTGTTGGTAGAAAACAGAATCAGAATGACACTTGGGCTTCAAAATATCATGTCCGTTAAAGTCACGCAATGGAAAGGATCACCAGTGTAAGTTATTGGTAACAGATAGACTCTACTGTGCGATTTCTTCACTTAGTTTGAATTTGCAAAATCCTCCGATTTAATGTGCTTTTATTTCAGAGTCTGCCGGTGCAGATTTGTGGATCCAGTGTGAAATTAATGCACAAACCATCCCTAGACGGTGCTCTTGTATTTGAGCAGCTTCTCGCTTGCTTCACTGTTGCAGAGAACCCTCGAGAATGCACAGGGCAGCCCGACTTCCAGAGAACACGTCTACTACAGCTGCTCTTTAATAAACAATTCAAAAAGATCAACTTCCCGTTTACCTGGTACTGAAATTGCTATACCACAGATTTCACACATCAGAAAATAGAATCCTTTAATTCCATAATCTGTCTTGTTTACCACAAGTACCTTAAGGTCCCATTTCTCCTACTTTCTTGCTTCCAGTTAGAGGCAGGTTAAAGAGTGTGATAATTAACTCTGAACATTGCCACTTTTTATTTCTGTTCACACCCAGTCTTAGCCTGTAAAACCATTGTGTCTTAAGATTTTGGTCTGTCGCGTGAGCTACCTCTTTGTACTTTCGGTCATCTTTCTCCCCACCTCCCTCAACACTCACCCCCACCTCGGGTGCCCAGCCATTAATAGTTAAACACTTTAGGATGTCCTCCTGACATGAATGTAAATTTGTATTGTACTGAATTATGAAAATTCTTAAATTCAGTCTTAATTTGGAATCCGTTTTCCCACAGCTCTTGAAAAGAATCGGCTTCAGAAATAAAGCTGAATTTAAGAATTTTCAACAATTCTACACAATCTTAAATTTTAACACATAATTGTCTTACAGGCTAAGACTAGTTGCAACTGTGGCCATTAAGTGCTTATGTCCTGACATGAGTCCTGCAGCGGATTGGTTAGAACACTCGCCTTGCAAGCGAGAGGACCCAGGTTCGATTTCAGGGCAAAGCCTTAGGCAAGGTTCCTTACTCCACGGGCCTCTGTTTCCTAGCCTTAAGTAGGAACCGGTTGTTAGTGAATTGGTGGATTGCTTCTCCGGGGAGTAATCCTTCAAAAAACTAAATAAAGCAAATAATGATAATTTGGTTACTCCATCCACAAGTTTGTGGGACACTGCTGTGCGTATTTGGCTGCCGTGTTTCACCCACAAAATATACAGTCAATTCACTTTACAGTATATTTAGTGAAACACTTTGAGACGTCTCAACGATGGATAAGGCACTATATCAAATGCAAGGATTATTATTATATTATGTAAAACCAGAGTATGTAGCATTCTTGCCTCTAAGTCAGAAGATTGTGCATCTCAAATAGTCACTATATTTTAATTTTATTTGGTTGTATTTAACTTAAATCAAATTGTTGACTTGGCGCTAATAATGCAAGGATTATTATTATTTTTATCATATACTGTTTTCTTTTTTACTCCTCACCTAACAATGTTCATCTCATTTCAACATTCTGCAAGGCCACCTAATTATCACATATAGCCACCACTTCTTTATAGCCTGTTGCACATTCGTTTTGCACATAACAATGAAGGATGGAGTAAGGACATTAGATAAAAAAAGACAGACACTATTAATTTCTAGCAAGTAAACAAGTTGCACAATCATCAGCAAAACCTTACTTAAAAGATTCAGTAGCACAAATGTTTTTTTTCATTATAGACAAAATATATACGGTAGCAATATAACAGCATAATTATCATTTAACAAAATTTCATCAATCTACAGTGTTAAAGTGATTCCAAATATATATTTCCTGCTGGTAAAGCCTAGCAATAATATATAATCCAACAGTGCATTATTCTTATGTCAAGAACAACTTGCCCATAATGTTTCAGTCCCCCTAAAGAATGGAAATCATACGCACATTACAATTCAGCAAAACAACTTAAGCCAAATTAACTATTAAGATACCAATCTAAATTAAAATTCTCATGCGAACACTTCAAACGCCAGGTTGGGAATTTGAACTCATGGTCTAGGTTGGCACTGCAGTGCAGGGCAGGGAGAGCGCCTCAATACCAGCAGTGCTGCCCTTAGTAATGAGACATTAAACGATTGGTGGTCAACCTGTGGCCCACAGGCTGGAAGTCACCGGTGGGGCCTTCATGAAGTGGCGCCCTTCCCACCCCAACATTTGGACAAGTCTGGGTAAGTCTGCATTTAATTGCTAGTGTGTTTGCAGTTTATTCTCGATTCAATATTTCTTGATTTATGGCAGAAATCATAAAATATTCAATCAAGAATATTTATTTTGTTGCCACCACTGCGTTAAAACCAATGTCCCCATCTGCCAGTTCAGGGGAACATGAAAGATCCCATTGACAGCATTGAAAAATGAAGGGAGTTTCTCCTAATGTCCTGACCAATATACTCCCTCAGTTAAAATTGATCATTCATGAAGTGCTGAAATTGACTGCTGCATTTGCCTACAAATGCACAGAAAGCTATGGGACTTTACAACATGATAAGGTGCTACATCAAAAGCAAGGATTATTATTAATGGATCAAAGAGCAGCAGAAGAACCATCCAGAGAAAATGTAAGGATTTGCCATTTTCCTCCAAAGGGAATGGTTATAGGTTAGGAGCTTTTTATTCATAAAGAGATTACTTTAGCATGGCAGTAATCCTAAAATCATTCCATTCGTTAATTAACAACAACAACAAAATTACATTTATATAGTGACTTTCACGTTGGGAGGACTCCTCAAGGCGTTGGATAGATAGAGTTGTGGACCTGAGCTGGGGGTCGGCGTGGGGGAGGGTGGAGGGCAGGGGGGGAAGCGAGGAGATCGAAAGCACGGTCGAAGAGGAGGGTCTTGTGGTGGGTCTTGAAGGTGGCAAGGGAGAGGGCCAGACGGAGGGACTGCGGGATGGAGTTCCAGAGGGTGGGGGCAGAGTGGTGGAAGGTCCGCCTGCCGATAGTGTAGTGAACAAGGCAGGGGATGTGAAGCAGGCCAGAGCCCGCTGAGTGGAGGGAGCAAACAGGGTGGTAGGGGGTTAGGAGGTTGGAGAGGTAGGGGGGAGCAAGACCATGAAGCGCTTTGAAGGTGAGGACCAGGATCTTGAACTGTATCCTCTGTATGATGGGAAGCCAGTGGAGATAGGCAAAGATGGGGGTGATAAGGTTGAGGAGCCTAGTGCGGGAAAGGACACGGGCTGCAGAGTTCTGGATGATTTGCAGTCTGTGGAGGGAGGAGTTGGGGAGGCAGACAAGCAGGGAGTTTGCATAGTCGAGCCTCGATGTAATGAAGGTGTGTATGAGGGTTTCGGCGGCCTGCGGTGTGAGACAGTGGCGGAGCCGGGCAATGTTGCAGGGGTGGGGGAAGGCAGAGCGGGTCATGGCGCAGATGTTGGGTAGAAAGGAAAGTTGAGGGTCAAAGAAGACCCCAAGGTTCTGGACTGGCTCAGTAAGGTGGAGTGTGCAACCATGGATGGTGATGCTGTCAGCGCCTGAGGTGAGGAAGCGCTGACGGAAGCCAATCAGGAGGGCCTCGGTCTTATTTTCAACTGAAGAAAGTTAGTTCTCATCCAGGATTTGATATCTTCACAATAATTAAGGAATATTGTTAAAATGCATTTTGAGATTTCCCTCTCCAACTGCATCCAAACCTGACTCAAAATGCTGGCACCCATCATTCGGACCAGACCTCATAGTTGAGGATGACATTCCAAGATGCCGTCCTTCAGACACAACATTAAACCAAGGCCCTGTTCACCTGTTCCGACAATAAAAATCTTATGGCACTACTCAAAAAGAGAAGGGAATTTCCTCCGGGGTCCAGATCAACAACGCCCCAGATAAAATTCGTCATTCCCATCATGGTGGTTTGTGAGACACTGTTGTGTGCAAATTGGCTGCCATAATTGCCTAAAAAATAAACAGTCCCTACACTCAGTAAAATTGTGAAGCGATTGAAAAATCTCAATGATATGAGAAGGCGCTCTATCAAAGGCAAGGATTATTATTATACTGGCCCAGAGCAAACTTTCAAGTGCGAATCACCCGTTATAACAGAACAATCACTGCAGCTTCTTTACAGATAGGTAGGAGACCACTGTGGAGGGAACCACAAACCTAAGGGGTAGTACCTTATGCTGAGTCGCTCCACAATCTTAAATACAAGACAGCAAGGTATCTGTGCTTCTTCTAATGCCTCTACACCAGGCCTGAGCACCGCAGTTGGTAGACATCTCTGGGCCGAGGGCTTGTACCTTTGCTGCTCTGACATCACGAGTGGGCAGTGCAGTGCAGTGTAGTGTAGTGTAGTGACCTGCTCTCATTCATGATGTCACAGGAGAGACATGGCAGCTGTTCCACAGCACAACACAACAGCAAGAAGTCACCTGTCCAGACCTTATACAGCACCGATAATACTGACCTGTCCAGACCTTATACAGCACCGATAATACTGACCTGTCCAGACTTTATACAGCACCGATAATACTGACCCTGTCCAGACTTTGTACAGCACCGATAATACTGACCTGTCCAGACTTTATACAGCACCGATAATACTGACCTGTCCAGACTTTATAGAGCACCGATAAAAGTGACCTGTACTCCGTTTCTAAGTTTAATGGTGATCTGTGCTGCTGAGTTCTGGATAGTCTGAAAACTGGTGGGTGGAGCTGGCAGGCTAGAGAGTAGGACATTGTAGAATTCGAGTCTGGAGGTGACAAAAGCATGGATGAGAGTTTTGGGATGCATGAAATAGATGGGAGATGTTTTGGAGATGGAGTAAGGCGGATTTAGTTAGAGGCTGGAAGAAAGGTTTGAATGTTTGAGCAACTTGGGAGATCAATACGATCAGCGATTGAGCAGAGGAGGTGCTGACAGGAGCCAAGCTGTTAGACTTAGTTCTGTCAATATAAAGTTGGAGAAAGGTAAGGCTCATCCAGAACTTCTATCAGAACAGCACTGGGCCTGGAGTCAAGGGTGTAGGCAGAAAAGTAGAGTGTCCTCTCTGTATACATATGGGACTGGACTCTGCCTGTGGATAATGGGTGAGTGAGTCGCATCCTCTATAGTACAAGCCTGGTGGGTGCAAATCAAACTAGAATTTGTCTCCCATGTTCCTTTGATATTTTGCTATCCCCAGCGCCTTGGGATGTCCTCCTGACGTGAAAGGGACTATGCAAATGTAATTTTGTATTATATTGGGTGCCCAAGAACTTTCGGTGAGACCTGTATATGTGATATGTAACAATCCAAACATGCAGCCATTTCTTTAATGGGAACAAAATACCAACAGCCATTTCCGTAAGTGT